GCGAATACTGGTTACTATCGCTCGTTTGGTAGGTATTCAGTCTTTTTAAGAAGTGATGGTTTTTTATTATCACTGATAGGAGGTGCTTCTGTGAAAACCACATATATTCCAATGGAGGGGCTTCGTGGGAATCCTTTCTTATGATTATCTCTGAGCCTATGAGTGATTGCATTTTGAATGGAGGTACGGGCAGTCCGTACCGCCACAGTTTGAATGAGTTGCTTCATAAGTTTTCTCGGAGTGGGTACTCCATCAAAAGAGTCAATATATTCCGGAGAGTTAGTCAGGAGCATTCCTCTTTTCAACTCCTCATTACCTTTTACTCATAAGTCGTACTGGAGTTACTTCCTGTCAGCCATTACTTAACAATGGAAAATGCGCATTCAGCATCCTTTTAGCTTATGCTAAAAGATAAAGCTTATCTTTTTAAGAAAAGCATGCGAAAGTATCTGGATGAAGAAAGATATTAATTCAGGGAGGCAAATGGAAGCAAGTGCTGTACCTCCGGCAGTTTCTAATCCAAGTCAAATCGCGAATGGGATTCACTTGCAGCAACCTATGGATGATAGGCAAAGTAGGTGGATTTCTATTGGTCTGTTCAATGGACCAATCAGAATTTAAATAATTTGTCGATTTTGTGCACGCTTTCACTGTGCATTTACCTCCCAAATTAAGGAGGAATCCACTTCTGAAGTGACATTCTATCACGCTTATGCTTCAATCATACCAACCAACGCGAGGGGTCTAGTACAAACTTCAACTGTCACATCTGGAGAGTGTGGTACCAATTGTTGGCCTGTTGTGAACGAGGCAATTTCCTACGATAACGCTGAAGGTGGTTAGTGCTCTCGGAAACACCATGACAAAAAAATTATACGAAAAGGTGCAACACTTGGCTCAAGGAAGTCTGATTCGTGCAAAGAGAGATCCTGATTTCAACGGGCTTTTGATGGTGAAGATGCAATTATAACTTGTCTTGAGGAATGAAACAAAGGAATGTTGGGATCAATGAAATCACGCAGCCTTAGTTACCAACTACTCAGTGAATAAATTCGTGATTTCTACATGGACCCTTAGATAACAAAAAAAGGGAAGCAAAAACGACAAATGGAGTGATGGGGAGCACAATTAATGAGGTCATATTTGAGACACCATAGCAAGTCTTCGCAGTTCACACCGTCTAGTGAAGACCATAAAAACTAACAAAAACATCGCATCCTCAAAGTGCTGCACTGTGTACCAGTCGCCACAGAGGATCTAGCCGATTCAATCCATCTGATTGGTGGGTCAATTTTGCTGCAACCATCCTCGAAGTCTCCACTTGAATTTACGCTGCGTTTGCAGAAACGTTTTGGGACAGGGGTAATTCCACCATACATGAGGGGATCAAAAGGTCCGTGTTTTTCCCCACAGAGATCGCTGGAATGACTTAACGCAAATGCATGTACTGTAATCGCAGATAGGAGTTAGTTTATCATTATTGCATTCTCTACTATTTTCGCCTCAATTCGAACT